GCGTAGCATGCTGGTACTCTGTAACACCCTCGGATTTCCAGCTCAAGTTCTGCAACGAGCCTGTTTGCCCTCTGCTCCGCTGCCGCCTGCCTCCTCTGGAACATCTCCACCAGCTCGGCTTGATTTCTCTCCATGGTACGAATGAGAGCGGAGAAAACCTGCACGCTTTTCTCTATGTCTCTCTTTGAATTTACCTATAGAGGGCATTAAGCAAATACAAACAAAAACACATTTTTCCTCAGGGAAGCAAAACGTTCAGCAGTAGATCCATTTGAACACATGTGGCTCCCAAGCAGAATAATACAGAACCCAGACAGTTGATTGTGTCCATCTGAACATTGTGTTTTCAGTGAGAGAAATGTGTTGTCACTCATTTAAGTGAGTTCATCAGTCCCAGGGCATGACTGAAACCAGCACCATTGCCTAACAATGTCCAGGAGATTTCACACCCTGGACAGGGAGGAATGCCTGTTTAAGCGGGAGACAAGGAGGCCATTTATGTAAAAAAGGAACTTTAATCTGAGAACTGAACTGAGAAAGGGCCTAACTGTCTTACAATGTGCTGATTGATCAGTAGTCACAACAATTTGCATATTAATGATGATGAAACTGAGCTCACGGTCCATTGTTATGGAATGGTGCCAGTTTCTAGGTGCTTTATTCACAGCCTGAGAGGCTTAAACACCCAGATATTCTTTGCTCTTATGTTAACTCACTTTGCTGAGCTCCACACATCGTTTAATCTCCTCCACTTTCTGCAGTCTGTCCTGGATCATTTGCTGAACATCACCCTCGATCCTCTTCATCTGCGCCTAAACGTCAAAACGAGGACAGAACCTTTAAATAGTTAAAGTCTTATTCCAGAGTTTAGTTTAGCATTTAATTTAACAAGAGTTCAGTGCTGCGGAGGAGTTCACACCTTCCTCTCTTGGCTTTCTCGTTCCACTGGGACCGTTTTGTGAGAGCGGTGGTCCGTTTCGGTGCACAGCACACAAACACACCTCTGGTCACTTCTGCAGAACAGCTCCAAAAGCCTTTGGTGCTTTTTACACATCCTGTTCTGCAGCATTGCCACGGGTTCAATCAGCTTGTGAATCCTCAAGGTGGCAACTCTCAGGTGAGGCTCCAGGTGCATCTCGCAGTACGAAGTCAGACACGTGAGGCATTTAATTGACTGACAAGCAGTTTCATGGCCTGATGGTTTATTATACAAATGAAAAGGACATACAAAGATGATTCAGTCAATTCATTGTGTTGCATTTTTGTATGCTATAGATTTTCAGTGTGGATTTACAAGAACATTCGAGCTGTAACACTCAAGAACGGGAAGGCCAGAAAAAAGATGAAACCAAGACGAACTTGTATCAGGATGATGGGAGGAGAAACGTGTGGAGAAGGAAAGAAACAGTTGATGATCAGAAGCATGTGGTGGGACCAGTGTTATGGCATGGACATGTACAGTCACTAGTGTTTATTGATGATGTGACAGCTGATAGAAGTAAAAGGATGAATTCTCTAGTATACAAGCCAGATTACAATATATCCTATATGTAGAAATCCTTATTTTACAGTTGCTAAGCAAAGCAAGTAGAGTTTGAGGTATTTATTGAGAAAGGAGTATTTATTTTATGAACAGTTTCATTCAAAAAATTTAATAGGTAGAGTGGGAAAGTGAGCACAAAGGGCTCAACTCAATTCAAGTGTACAGCTGTGATACAACGTGTGAGATTATTGTATGATATGCTGAGAGGATACATGCTGCATCATGCACACGGGCACTTAGCTCTACAATGCTGCCATTTAACGTTCTTGTTTAGGAGGAAATGCTACAAAAACGGCACAAGCAAATTAAAGTCAAATTAAGACGTTGTCATGCTGAGCATTCACAGTTATTCTCACAGTGAACTTAAATATCCCCTAAAAAGCCTTTCAAAAAATGCAGTAACATCAATTATCCTATTTTATTTAATTTTTTCATTATTGTCTCTGTGATGTCTCTGCT